TATGTATAGATCAAAATAATGGTAAAAAATGCCTATTATAATAATCACTTTTTTATGATTTTAACCAAAAGAATAATTTGTTCGGTCGTTTTGCTAGTTAATAGCGAATAATTAATTATTTTTTCGATTGCTGTAGCGAGTATCACTTAGTTTCTTTTGGAGATCTGAATTATTGATTTCAGTTCGCTTTTTTTGCTAATCATCAACCACTCATTTATTTAATTATTGACTAAGTCACGAAGCATTCATCTTGCCTGTATTCAATGCGGTCATTTAACAACTTGTGTATCTTGCAGTCATTTAATCCTACCATGATCTTAATGTGGAGGAAATGCGTTATTAAATGCGCTAATAACTCGTCACAACTTCGTAACTACTGATGAAGGAAAATTTAGAAGAAATTATTACACTCTGACTAAATTTTTGTGTTCGTGGCAAGAGATTTCTAAGTCAATCAAAGTACTAAAAGTTTCATTGTTTGGAGATTAAAAAAACTTTAAATCGAATTGAAATAACCTACGAGCAATGGTACATGAGGAATATTTCAAGAAAAACTAATATTATTAACTTTAAAAGAGTCAAAGTTCGGTGAACAACATATTAATTGAATAATTTTCAATTATATTAATAAAATACTTTTTTAGATACAGCTAAATATAATTCAAGATAACACTGTGAAGTAACAAATTATGTGCAAAAAATTATATGAATTGAAGATGAATGAAACTTATCAATGTATTGAATAGATAAACGACAAAGAAATGATGATAATGGATCGTGAAAATTAGCATCGAGCCAAACTAAACAAGATAATTATGAGAAAGAGAAAACATAGACGAATATTTATAAAATGACATCAACTGTTCTTTCAGATGTCTCTACTTTTGATAAAAAACTGCGTCATCAAAAATAGAGCACTAGGTCACATAGAAAAAAGTTATTGATAGATATACTGAAGCATTTAGTACATTTATCTGAAGAAAAAACAACAACTGATAATTATGAAATATACACCAAATACGAGGAATGAGTATAGAAGGAAGGTTCGAATTAAAAAGAAAATGTCAATTATACTAAAAACTTATTACTTGTGTGATTTATAGAATTATTAGATAGAGTAAATTATCTCGTCAAGAATGGATTATAGTTTTTTGTTTTTATGACAAGTTTTAAGAATGCTAAAAGTTTATTCTGAATTGTTTTTACTTAAGAAATAATGATTTTGTTCTAAAAAATTGTTATGATTGCTTAAAACTTTTTAAGTTTCTCTATTCAATTTTGACATGTCTATTGTTCATCAACAACTGGAATATGAAAGAATAAAAAGACTAAATATTGATTCATAAGTAAATCTATTGTTATACTATACACCGACGCAATAAGAATAGATCAAGATTTTTACACTATTATTTCATCAATATAACATCAGGTGTAAATCCGAAATTAATTTATTTGTATGATAATAATGGCAACATATTTTTACTGTATGTCAAGTAAATTTAAAATCTCTATTTTATTTATGTGAAAAACATTATCATAAATGAATTGATAGCTTTTCTAAAATAGGTAAAGTTTGCTGATAATAATTAGAATGGATATAATAAGTAGGTATTTTTAGGCATTCCATTTGAATTAATGATCTGTAACAAATTACTCAGAGATTCTTCATATACTAGAAAAATTACAGTAACACGTATTTTAACGAATTCTTCATAGAGTTTATTAGTCGAGCGGGATTGTTTAGGATCTTTTAAAATAAATTTGATTGAGATTTTTCTGGATTAAGGAAGCTGAATCTTCAAATCATTTATAAATTTTCTTGTTTAGAAAACTTCATTTGACTGAACAAAACTAAAATTGAAGGTTTACAAATTTGTATGACATTAGTTTTTCAAAATCTATATATTTCATATCAATAATAACGAATATATTATTACTTTTCATGCTGATATGATTATGTTCATCTTCGTTTTCTTTTGTGCGACAATATCTCCTTAATGCTTTGCTACCTTAAGATGATCACATTCTGCTTGATAATCGTCATGCTCGACGCTAGTGCTAATCAGCATTTTATTTATAAATCAGTCGTTGTTTCTTTGATTACAACACAAATAAGAGCATGTAACTAAAACGCTATGTATTATTATTAAGTAGTATTTCCTTTCACAATATAGAGTGAACTCTAGTTGGTCATAACTCGTAAATGGTGATATTCATAATATAAAATACATATTTTAAGTTTTATATTCATGTTTTTGAGCTTGTCGCAAAATAAAATAACACTAAAATGCAAAGTTTATTCAAAACTTTGATGAACTATTCGTTGCGAAGAAAAAGTCGACAGTATGTGTAAAAATATGTATTTAACATCAAACTAAACGTTCATGCGGTCACGTGGTTTTTACTTTTCTTTTTCATTTCTTCCTTTGTAAAATGTGAAGGACAAAAAAAAGCCAAGAAAGAAAAAGTACCTGAAAAACACGTGGAAAAAATGAGAACTTAATAATCAAGAACATAAATTCATAAGAATATTCAGAATAATTACAACAAATAATAAAAATGAAATTTTCAAACTAACTAACATACTTATATCGAATTCTTATAAACTAAAAATAAAGCTATGAAGAAATATACGAACTATTTAACTTACCTAAGTGATGCTTGATATTGAATTCAGTTTTTTTTTTCGTCTATTAATTGTTTAATATTTCTTTCAAAGCACTTGTTATTGGTTTGGAATGACTGACTTTTTATATGTTATGTGCAAAAACAAAAACCAAAAAGAAAAATATTTTTTTGTATATGTCACTTTTATCTTTAACAAGAATAAAATATTTAAACTTCTATCTTATGGATTCAGAGTTATTTACTAAGCAGAAATTACAATATTTTCTCAACTAATCTATTCGAATACAATACACATATTATATTTCATTGATAGATTATGTTGAAAACATTTCAAACATTAAAAGTGTTACTTTGCTTGTTATAATCAAATAGATTTCTGAAATAACATGAAATGACTAATTTTGTTGAATAATTTGATATGTTAAATTGTGGCTAAATATAACTTGTTCATATATGTAGAGCTTTTCGCTTCATCTTCATATAAATATTTGAATGTACTTTTTTCTTTGACCTTTTCACTTACATACGTTGGTATGCTATTACATTACGTTTTTCTCTTTCAACAGTATACATATTATTTCCTTTGGAATTCAGTGAATTATCATCTAAAACCATATGTGGGTGTGGGTGTGGCTGTGGCTGTGGGGGTATGGGCGTGTGGGGGTGTGTGGGTGGTGTATGATGTGGGCGGTGTGGATCTTTTATGATATTTAGCCCACAGCCACAGCCACATCCATCCACACCCACACCCTAAATTGTTTGATATACACATTAGACTATAGAACATATCAATATCGAACTTCTGGAAGTAGTGTCAGATGTTGTCTTTGTTAATATTTTCTGCAAATAATCAAATGAAAGAAGTCAGAGAAAACATAGTACGAATTCTCTATAGTTTGTGTTAAGCAGAATATCAAACATGCGCTTGTAACATTTTGGCATAATCCAGTAGAGAAGAACATACGGGCACTCCGGCATACATTTCGAAGGCGACGAGCTCGAGCCTTATATGAATAGATTACATTCCAATGATTATAAGATCGCATTCATGTCTAGTCCTGCTTAGTAACTATTAGGTATGACAAGAATCTGTAGTGACAGTGCGAAAATATCTTAAGGGAAATTAAAATCTCGTGTACAAAAACAACCCGTTCACAATGTCACTCGTTTTTTTATTTACGTTGAAAGCATACAATAATTACAATGATAAGCTGCCTCATTTATTACTCGTCGGTCTTCAACAGTCCAATCCCATCATTGATTGTCAACGGGAGCTCTTTAAAGATTCGTAGTATATTATTTTAGTGTGGAAATTTGATACCGATGGAGTATCATCGGGTACTGACATTTAGCTATTATTAATACTTGGTAGTTCGTTGCCAATTAAATGAAGAAATGCTGTGACAGCACTTGCATGAGGACAAACAGCAAATAAGCCATTCTGTTGTGGGTGTGCGTGTAGGTATGAGCATTCTCTTCATTCACACAAACACCGAAGAACGACACCCACACCCCACACCCAATACCTACATCCACATCCATACCCACACCTTACTCTGATATTTTTTTATGTAAGTAGTTGCATAGAAATTAAATTTTTCTCACGGTCGTCTTACCATTGATTTTTTACTTTGGTCGTTTCTAGGATGAGAGGTGACTAACATCACGATACGAATGCACTTTTCTCTGTCGTCAACATTCACACGAATGAGGGTACCAATTTGTTCTACTGATACACACAGATGTCTCATTTCGCATAGTTATTCTTGGTCTCATATAGCTGGTATCGTGTTTTATACCCCCTTTTTATTACGAATATCGATCACATCTATGCTTTTCATTCAATTTCCACATTGAATGTCACAGCTATACATTTGGGTTTCTTTTAGTATTGTTGGCGAAAACATTGAGAAAAAAGTTTGAGAATTGTTCCTTATAACGTTAACTCAATTTTTGGATTCAATGCTTCGAGCCGACTTCCTTTATATTCGATTTCCTTGTTCCTTGCACAAAGTTCGAAACCGGCTGTCATGACTTTTGGCTCGTTGTTATGAAAGTTCAAGCATCTTTTTAACATGAAATCATATGCATAATCGAACTATGGTATTTTACGAATTCGACGATGTATAAGGATATGAATATTTCAATGTTAGACAACCCAGGAAAGAGCGCTTTCCGTCCAAGTGGAAAATGAATAGCAAAAGGTCAACCAGATACTCTTTTTGCTCAATACCGAAACCCGGTTTTGGTGCATGGGTAGTACTCATTATATCTTTCAAAACTATATTGTGTAGATGTTTCATTGATTGTGTGTACTTCTTTTTGCTGATCCAAAGATTTGAGCATTCTTTTGATGTACCGTAGTATTTTAGATGACTCGCTACGTTCAATCTGATCCATATCCCTATCCTTACAACGGCGATCTTCGAGCAGAAAACACAGCGCTGCTCGTTATCGATATGCAGACCGATTTCTGCGGTTACGGTGGCTATGTTGACAAAATGGGCTACGACCTTTCCCTAACTCGCACTCCGATTGAGCCCATTCAACGTGTTCTTGCAGCTGCTCGAGAGAAAGGTCTTCATGTCTTTCATACTCGTGAAGGACATCGACCAGATTTGAGTGATTTGCCAGCAAATAAGCGCTGGCGCAGTGCTCGAATAGGTGCTGGCATTGGTGATCCTGGACCTTGCGGACGGATTCTTGTTCGTGGTGAATCCGGGTGGGACATTATTCCAGAACTAAGGCCACTTCCGGAAGAACCCATCATTGACAAGCCCGGCAAAGGCTCGTTTTACGCGACCGATCTAGATTTATTACTCAAGTGCGCGAACATCCAGAACATCGTGCTGACCGGCATCACTACCGATGTCTGTGTGCATACTACCATGCGTGAGGCCAATGATCGCGGTTATGAATGCCTCCTCTTGGCTGATTGCACGGGTGCGACTGACTACGGAAATTACCAGGCCGCCCTAAAGATGATACAAATGCAAGGAGGCGTGTTTGGCGCTGTTAGCGATTCGAAATCATTCATCAAAGCCATCGCATAAGAGAAAGCCTAGTGATCATCAGTGACATTACATATCTAGCATAGAAGTTGAAGGACTACTTCAATTGAAAACAAGTTTCAAAATAAAGTCGCTGATATAAGCGAGTATAGAGTTGAAATTCAGTTTTCAAATTTAGATTCAGCTCTCAAAGGGCAAGATCAATAGAATGGTATAATTTCAAAACGAACTGCATTAATTGATGATTGCTCGCTATAGAGAAGTGAAAGAGTTGCTTTTTTCCGTGTTTGCAATGTCACGTATCATTGCGTGAAAGCAGTACTCACTCAACAAAAAATATGTTCTTCGTATTCTTGCATACGTTATACAAGCATATGGTTATATTCGCATAGTGATCATGACTTAATACATACTAAAGCTAGTTTTAGCCTTTAAGCTAAAGAAACAAAAACGGTAGCACCTTTTCATCGTGCGTCTGATTGCCTTTTTCATTGTATTGACATATTCTCTCTAATCTATCTAGATTGGTTATTGTCGATGCAAAAAAAATGTGTGTGCTTTCTTCTTAATAGCTTAAGTTATAAAAAAAACATATTTTGCCATTTCACATCACCAAATCGAACGACACTCTTCGTACAGCAATTGGGTATGTAAATTAGTAGCATATGAAAATAGTTCTATTTTGTCTGAATTTGTAATTTAATTTAAAAATAAAATCGTTCCATCTATTCAGAGTTTTCCTATCGTCATTATCCAATAATCTTAACGATAGTAATTTAAATCAAAATGACTAGTGTTACTAAACAATTTAGTTTACATTTTGCATGTAACTATCTAAAACTGTTGAAAAAAAATTCAGGAATCTGTCAAAGTAATATTTGAAAATGATTCTATCCTCATTTAGGTAATTATGGATGAAATAAAACAAACAAAAACGATTAATTTACCAAAAATATTAACAATCAAATGGTTAAAAGACGCCTATAAAAAAAATCAATTAAAACCAAATGAGGTCATCAATGAAATTATTCAACGTGTAGACAGTGATCGAGAAATGAATATTTGGATTATACCACCAACTATAAAACATATTGAATTCTATTTAAATCGTCTTGAGAACATGAATCCGAATGATACACCATTATGGGGTATACCATTTGCTATAAAAGATAATATTGATTTAATAAATATTCCAACAACAGCTGGCTGTCCTAAATATACATATACACCAAATGAAAATGCCACTGTTGTTCAACGTTTAATTCAAGCTGGTGCTATTCCATTAGGTAAAACAAATTTAGATCAATTTGCAACCGGACTTGTTGGTACTCGAAGTCCTTATGGTGAAACACATAATGCTTTGAAACCAGAATTAATTAGTGGTGGATCGAGTTCTGGTTCGGCTGTGTCTGTTGCACGTGGTCATGCCGTATTTTCATTGGGTACAGATACGGCTGGTTCCGGACGTGTACCGGCCGGATTAAATCGTTTAATTGGTTTAAAACCATCATTCGGTGTTTGGCCAAGCAAAGGTGTGGTACCAGCTTGTCAAAGTTTAGATTGTGTAACACTATTTACACATGAACTTGATGATGCTATATTGATTGATACAATTGTACGTGGTATAGATAAAACAGATCCATGGTCACGTGATATTCCACGTCAATTATCATCACTATCAATATTACCAGATAAAATTTGTTTGATAAATGATCCATCAATTGAATTTTTTGGTTCCTATACTATTGAATATCAACTAGCTTGGCAGAAAACAATTGAACGGATTCAACAATTAAATATACCTATTGAATATATCGATGGACATGATTTTGCTGAAGCAGCATCGATAGTATATGGTGGTCCTTGGATAGCCGAACGTTGGTCAGATTTAGATGAATTTGTTAACGATCAAGAACCGAATACAATTTTTCCTGTAACAGAAAATGTTTTACGTTCAGGTACAAATCCGAATTATACTGCTTCGTTCTTATTCAAAACTATACATCAATTACAAAAATTGAAATGTCGAACACATCAACAATTAGAGAATGCTGTTCTAATTATGCCAACATCGGGTGGTACATGGACACGTGAACAAGTACGACAAAATCCTATTCAAACAAATAATGATATGGGACGTTATACAAATCATTGTAATTTATTAGATTTATGTGCTATTGCTATACCATCCGATGATGCTACCAATGATGTACCATTTGGTATAACATTATTTTCGAAATATAATAATGAACATCTTATATCGAATTTAGCTAATTTGTTTTTAAAATATCAAACAATGACGAAAAAAACACAACAAGAAATTACAACATTTGTTGTTGTATGTGGTTTACATATGCGTGGTTTATCACTTGAAAAACAAATGTTAGAGCATCGAAGTAAATTTATTCGTGAAGATGAAACAGCACCTTATTATAAATTATATCAATTATCAACAATACCATCAAAGCCAGGCTTAGTACGTACTGCAGAAAATAGTAATGAAGGTACATCAATAAAAGTTGAAGTATGGGAAATGCCATTATCATCATTTGGTGCATTTACAGCACAAATTCCATCACCATTAAGTATTGGTAAAATTATTTTAAAAGATGGAAGTCAAATACCAGGATGTGTCTGTGAATCCTATGCAATACATAATGCTGTCGACATTACACCATTACGTAGCTGGCGTGCATTTGTTAAGGATAATGTGGTATAGCTGACTGAAAAATGAAAGGACCTGTCCATATAAGACCATTTTCTACCCCCCCCCCCCTTTTTTTTTCGAAAATTTCTATACAGCGAGAATTAAAAGTTGGTCCTAGATAGAATGGACCACATATTTCTTGCATAGCTCGAAATAAAATTTTTCGACCCTCACAGACCTCTGCGGAGGGAGGGGGGTATGGGGATTTCGAAATTTTTTTTCCAGATAATCGACTATTTATCTTCCAGTCTTATAGAGCCTGGAATGCTTATCACAAGTATATGGTCAAAATCAACAATCAATTATAGCCTAGAGAATCAAAGTTGTTCTTCGTTTGACCATTTTAAGAATCCTCAAGGATTCTGTGCACCTAAAGTGTACCTGAAAACGGTTTGAATCGGCCGAAAATAGTTGGAGTAGATGTAAAATTTTGAACTTTATCCGATGATAATAGAATCAACTCTATATACTTCTTTCGTTGGTTTTTAATAAGCAGATACTGGGTCCACTTGTAGGACCCAATTTTATAGCAAAAGTTGATGTAGGCTATCTCTACCAAAGAGCCATGAACCAATGAGATATTTTTACCATAGATACAACTCAAGAAACTCTTTCCGATGCACTATATATCGTCTTGAAAAAAAGGTACTAGCGGTACCCTTTTCTTACACTCAATGACTTTATCATGATATCATCCAGTATGAGAGAAGTATCCTCGGTGAAATTCATCCTATCCCACTTCAGTCTGGCTCAAAATCGTCCAGACAGACGTAAAATTTCCTCCTCTATCCAATGGTGAAATAATTGGAGTTGTATCATTTCTCGCATTGAAAACAGCGGATAACAGACCGAATGAGACATCCTTATTGTGTGTTCAAGAATGGGTACAGTTATTAGCACCTTTGCCTTAGTCGGCAACACGATTATTATTCTTGCACAGAAAAATCTCTGACAACTGAAATTAACGATGAATGTGGCTAAGAGGCGAAGTAGCAATGAGGGTGTAGGTGTGGGTTGGGTGTGGGTGTGGGTGGCTGGGTGTGGGTGTGGTGGGTGTGGATGTGAGTGTGGGTGTGGGTGGGTGTGGGTGTGTCTGGGTGTTGGTGTTTCTTTTCTTTCTCCACACCACACGCACACCCACACCCACACCCCACACCCACCCACAAATAAGTGTATTTCATTGTGAACTTGCGTTACCGATTAGTGATGATGATTTCTGTGCATTTTGCTGCAAAAAATTCAAAAATTATCTACCTCGTATAAGAATTTTCTAAATATCCCATCTATTTAATGACGAAGTTACATGATAAATGAATCATTTGAAGATGATTAAAGCCAAATTGCCTTCTTACTGCTGCGTTAGATATGGATCCGAAAAAATTTAATTGATTCTTCGTTGAAACTATGTTTTTAGAATTAGAATTCATAGATGAATATTATTTTTAAACTGTTATGAATGAGAAGTCTAGGTGTGGAAAAATTTTCGGCATCAGCGAATAGCGCGTTAAAGAACAGTTCTACTCACTTTTAATGAACAAATACCGAAAATCAATAGTAACCAATTATCGTTTGAATCGAAAAAATATCTTAAAATTCAATCAATAAGAGCCTTTGAGAAATCTTAAACATGACTCAATTTTAAATTACAGTCATAATCTATTGACTTTGCTGTTTAGAAATATTGTTTGTTGGAGAAGAAATAATCGATTTAAAAATGTAAAATAATGTTTACCTTTTGCTGATTTTCATTCAACGCCATTTTGTCCAACTCCAAGGATAAATTAGATGTATTGACGACGATTGTTGCATTATTTTCAGCGGTGTTTGATGTAGAATGTAGAATCATGTATCGGTACTCAGAGTATGAGAAATGATTCTGAAAGAGTAGAATCGAATAGACATGAAACGATTCATCATATCTATTTCTCTGATGGTCACACTTAATAAACCAATTTTTACTTTCGAGCCAGAATGGAGTTCGAAACGGTACAATCAATGATTCTAGTGTAACATCTTTTGGAATAAAACATTTAGCAATCTTAAACGAGAATTCAAACTTGTTCAATAGAGGCAATTTCAATCGAATGAACTCCTCCCATTGAGAGCCATTAAATAATCCACAATACGATTCACAAGTCTCAACGAGTAATCGAAGATGCTTTAATGTAGGTCAACGTGAAAGGAGTGTGACAACATCGCTCATAGCTATATCTACACACTCATTTAGTAAGAGTGATTCTAAATTGGTTAACAGATAGGCATCAGAATTATCCGTGACATCATTTTTACAGATAATGTATTTACGAAGACTTTTTATAACAAGCGTTTGTAGATAAGGTAAGTGGTTAATAATATCATAAAGTGTCTCCCAATTACATTGGTAGATTGTCACATGTTTCGATCTACATTGAGTAGGCCATTCTATTTCACTGATAATATCCTCGGATCCATTGAATTCAAACTCACGAACATCATTATGGAACAAAATAGATGATATAAGTGGTATATCTCTGTCCAAGTGAATTCTATCTGATGAAATTGAGAATTTTCGAAGAGAAACATTTAACGAAATTGAAAGTGTTCTAAGAGATAATTTCATTATGTATTGTTTAAATTTGTCCAAATAGTAGATTTTTAATTCGATAAGATTGAATGAATGTAGTCGAATGAACTTATCAATACGAAAGTGAGAAAAAAATAATTCAATATTATTTTTTTGTCGGTAATTTATCCGAAAGCATAATTGAAACGATATTTTCAGGATTAATAATACGAGCTATGACGGACAAATCGGATTTGAACATGTAACGGAAGTCTAATTCATAACGATTATAAGTAATAGCCATAGAATAGAGCCGTTTACTCGCAAACCGAATTGAAAATAGAATTGTTTCTGCATCGAGATGATCGAAAATTTGATGAAGTACTTCGGTGGACAGTAGTTCAAGATGAGATTTGTTTGTAGTAGACATATGTAAGTGCTAGTTCATTTAGTATTAAATAATTATGCAGTGTTTCAAATGGAAATCTAAAATAAAATGTAGAGTGCACGTTGTTTTAAATCAGCAGTGTACATAAATGTAAGTTTCGTTGTGTTCGAGTGCAGTTTTTTACTTTGACTGAACACTTCATATAGAAAAATACATTAGCGAGACAATAACAGAGAAAAAAAAACAGAGAGGATATATATACGTATATGTGCAGATGGGAATATTCCCAGAATCAAAGGAAAAAAATCTCAAAACAATGTAAAGACTTAGTTCATGGTGAAAACTCCTACATGTGACGTATTAAAATGTTGAGAAAAAAACTTGAACAATAAAAAGTTATTTTGATAAGCAAAGTGTACAACATCAAAGTGTGGGTGTGGTTCTAATTCAAAATCGATTTTGATTTCACCATCTGGGTGTTTTTCTAAAAAATAAAAGTTCTACTGGCACTTTCTATTTTCAAGAGAAGATTGCAGTTAGTCTTTAGAGCTAAATTTTCTATGGATCAAATTCATATAGAAGTAAATGTTTGATTTTTGGAATATCTCATGTCACGCATAGTTTTATCGATCATTTGGAATTCTCGTTTCAAGGTAAGCTACTTATTCAATTACTTGAGTAACAAATGTATGTTGTTACAACTTATTTATTGTTGCTCATTATAAGATTTGCTGAGCTAACGCAGCGTGAAGAAATTATTGTAGGTATATGCAGTAGGCCAGTAGGCGCTAGTCTTCCGTAGAAGCAAGATAACCAGTACTTAACTCAGTATTTTAAAGATCGCATTACCATTCTTTCAGAAAAGGGTGCGCGAATCGTTAAATGAGCGTTACTTGTTCAATATCTGATTTTTCATTTGATCCTACGTTTCTTTTTGTACAAATTTTCGTTCTTTTCTAGTTCAAAAAGAATGATTTGTTGTTTTATAATCAAGTGGAAAATCTTTTTCGCTTTTATTTCTTTTTGTTTTTGTTTTTTAATTCCGTATTTGAGAATTCTCAAAGAAGCTTTATTATAGCTAACGGCTTTTTTTGTTTGAAAGAGCATGTCCAGATCCTGGCCATGACAGACTTCGTTTTTTAATTAACCTTTGTTACGGCTATATAAACAAGTACTAAAAGAACTAGAGCGCTATTTTGCGAAGCATTGAAATTTTCATTCCTGCTCTTCCCTTGAAAAATGAAAACAAAAAAAAGAGCACTCTCATGTTCTGCACCTTGACAATTTCTTTTAAGCCGAAAAAAAGTCAATTCAATATAATGAAGATTTCTAGAAAATTTGCCGTTGTCAAATGAGCTATTTTTGACCATAGTCAGTAGAATATCTCCTGAAAACATTATATAGAGCTGATAATTTTATTATAGTCTGTACACTATAGCCTCAACATATCCTGAAAATTGCATGCAATTAAAATATTTCTCAAGCAGGATCGTTTTTTGACGGACGAGAGAAAAGGTAGGTTAGTGTTTTGTCTGTGTCTTGTGACGAAAGATGAATGAACTGTCTTTAAATTGAACAGAACAGCCATTAAACGAACTTTAAAATTATGCGTCAATTTGTCTTTCTTTTTCAGCGGCAAATCAAATGAAAAAAAGAAGAGACACAATTTTAAAGTTTGTTTAATTAATTACATTGCTGATACAGTTAAAAAACCGACTTCATCTCTTATTACAAAAACAAAATTCAATAGATTTGAAAAATAAATCATTCGTTTTCAAAATATTCTTGATTTGAGTATGGGCGTCTGAGCCTTGTTTTCGCCCAGACTTTATTGTCTAAAAGCAAAATTATGATATGACTATATAGAACTTTCTAGATGAATTCATTTTTCGAATTATTAACTTTCAGAAGTTTGTAAACGTATAATCTTTCAAATCTGTTTTTTGGCAACATGTCTCAAAGCTAAACATTCCAGAATTTTCCGATATTTAGACTTTTTTATGTTACTCTTAATTTTTGTTTGTTTTATTCACACATACTGGTTCTTAGAATACCATAAAAATTGTCTATAAATCTAGTGAA